AAATTATATTTTTATGACTATAAACAGAACAGATGTGTCTGCACAGAGTACATTTGGGTGAGAGTAGATAGCGCCATATTCATAGGTTAAATATGAAATGTTTTTCCTTTAATGTCTACGTTCATACATGTATCGGTGCCTACCGGGCTTTTGGCCAAAAAGTAATATTTGAATAATTTGTGATTTTTTTTTTCTCTTTTCTTGTATATTAGCAATTTTTTTTCTGTGCTGTTCAGCTTATGTTGAATTTAACTCACGCTACCCATGTAATGATGTTATGACCCTGTATCACGTCATAATTATGAATTTTGTAGACGCCTTATTTGCTTATTGTAAACAGTCGACCGGCGGGTTAGTACCTATATTAACTGCGTGCCGTTATATTTATATATTTTTTTTAATTTATATATTTATATATTTCCTATCTATTTTATATACATTACATTAATTCGTTATACAATACAATGTCTGACGATGGTTCCTTTCACTCAGTTTCTGACTCAGATTTATCATTCAAGTCCACTGAAGATTCGGTAATAGAATCGGTTAGCCTAAACACGTTTATTGCTCAACAAATAACAAATTCCTATAAACATTTTAATGTTTGTCACATCAATGCGCAGAGCCTACCTCAACATTTCTCAGAACTTTTGCATATTTTTACTGATACGATCCACGCTATTCTAATCTCCGAAACCTGGCTCAAACCTTCTTTACTCTCGACTTCATTTAGTATGCCCGGGTTCGTGCTATTACGTAATGATAGATTAGGAAATCGAGGTGGTGGAGTGGCGATCTACCTTCGCTGTGGTATCCCTTATAAAGTTATTGCATCTTCTCCCTCTATAGCGTCTGGATCTCTTGAGTATCTCTTTGTAGAAGTTCTCCTAAATGGAAACAAAATTATTCTTGGAGTTGTGTATTCTCCGCCCTCAGTTAACTACTTTCATGACCTTGAGTCCGCTCTCTCGAAAATTGCATCTGAGTACGCACATCACATAATTATGGGCGATTTCAATACGGACCTTTTGCACAGCTCCTCTAGATCGCGAGAACTACGAATGATCATGAATTCAGTAAATTTCTCTATTCTCCCGCTTGGGCCCACGCATTCTAATATTAACACTGCTGATTCATGGTTAGATTTGATAATCGTTTCGTCTACTGAACATGTTGTAAATCATGGGCAGTTTCCGGCTTCTGGCTTCTCGCGGCATGATTTTTTATTTATTACCTATCGAATCAAATCGCCAAAAGTTACCGCACCTGTTTTGCGCCTGCGTAGCTTTGCGACTATGGATGTGGAGTTATTGAAACGGAAGGCTGCCTCAATTGACTGGTCAGATATTTTTTATACATCTGATGTAAATCATATGGTAGAGACACTGACTAGTAATATCCTTCAGTTATTCGATGCAGTAGCCCCGATACGCAATGTAAAGATCAAGCGCCCTCCAGCACCGTGGATGGACAGTGATATCCGTAAAGCAATGGCAAAACGTGATCGGGCTTTTGTAAGATTTAAAAACAATCGCTGTGATGCCAACTGGAATATATATAAAGCTACCAGAAACAAATGCAATCAGATGGTTCGAGCTGCAAAACGCCGACATATTCATAAGAACATTTTAAGCTCTTCGCCAGCCGGCATTTGGAAGTTTCTTAATTCACTTGGGTTAGGTAAACAAAGGAATTGCCCTGATATAGGGGCAATATCTCTCAATGATCTTAATAAGCACTTCTCCTCGGCACCTATAGTCGACAACTCAACTAAATATAAAACCATTTCACTCATCTCATCCCTTCCTAAAATCGATGCAAACTGCTTTGCTTTTTCTCCAATAACTGATGAAAATGTTCGTAAAATTATTTTTTCCATTAAATCTAAAGCAGCTGGCTATGATGAAATAAGTAGAAATATGATTATTCCCGTAATTGATTACATTCTCCCAATCATTACCCACATCATTAATTTTTCTTTTTCTACTGGGGTTTTTCCATCTTTTTGGCGTAAAGCATTTGTTCTTCCTCTCCCCAAGTTAAATAATCCCACTTCTTTAAGCCATTTTAGACCAATTTCTATACTTCCCTTTCTTTCAAAGATTTTAGAATCAGCTGCACACAAACAGCTATCCAGCTACATATATAAAAATAAACTTCTTAGTCCCTTACAATCTGGTTTTCGTCCCGGACACAGCTCTCCTTAAAGTTCTCGAGGACGTACGAGAGGGTATGGAGGAGTCAAAAGTAGTAGTTCTCGTATTAATTGACTTCTCTAATGCTTTCTGTACAGTCGATCATGACATTCTTCTTGCTATCTGTAAATACATGGGTTTCTCTTCGTCTGTTTTGGATTGGTTATCAACTTATCTTCGTGGTCGCTAGCAAAGAGTTAAGGTCAATCAACAGTCTTTCTCTGATTGGTCTGATCTTGCTACTGGCGTTCCACAAGGCGGAATTCTTTCTCCTTTATTATTTTCTATTTTTATAAATCTCATAACTGTAAATTTCAAATGCTCCTACCATCTGTATGCTGACGATTTACAGCTGTACGCTCAGATTGATCCAGCAAAGGTTAACTCTGCGATTGAAATTTTAAATATAGATCTTCAGGCTATCTGCGACTGGTGCACAAGTTATGGAATTGCTGTCAATCCTGCTAAATGTCAAGCCATATTTCTCAGTAGCCCTCGTCGTCTAGCTAATTTAGACTTCAATTCACTGGAGCCTATTGTTTACAATAGCACAAATATTCCTCTTAGACATGTAGTTAAAGACCTTGGGCTAATGATTGATGCTAATTTAAGTTGGCAATCTCAGGTAGCTGAAATAAGCCGGAGAGTGACAATCACCCTGCGTGGCCTTTATCGTTTCAAGAATTTCCTTCCAACCGAGACTAGGGCTATGTTGGTGCGAACACTCGTTTTACCAGTCATTGATTATGCTGATGTGTGTTACCCCGATGTGAGTCAAATACTTCTGTGCAAATTGGATCGTTTGTTAAATAATTGCATCCGTTTTATTTGTGGCCTTCGTAAATACGATCATGTATCCTTATATCGTTCCAAGCTTAAATGGCTCCCTATCCATAAGCGTAGATGCATCAGAATTCTTCGCACGCTATTTTCAATCCTATATGATCCATGCACTCCTCAATATCTGAAATGCAAGTTTCAGTATTTGGGTTCTTCCCACGATCGTAACCTGAGATCCTCCGAGGGAACTACTTTATGTGTTTTTCCTCGCCGTACTAAATTTATGTCTCAGTCGTTCGCCGCTGAGGCCATAAGGCTATGGAATAAATTACCTCCTCATATCAGGAAACCGACTTCTGTTGCAGCCTTTAAAAGAATGGTGACTGATCACTACCTTTGTTCTTTCAGCAATTGACCTTCTTAATTAAATGTTTCTGTATAATGAGTATTATAAATTACTTAAGTTGTTTTTGTATAATATGTTTGTATGTAAGTATGCTTAAAATGTATGTATTATGTATTGTTTAAAATTATGTATGTTTATGTATCATGTATAGAGTATAGTATTTATGTTATTTGTAGTTATATATATTTATTTTTGTATTTACAAGTATAGTATGTATATGTTTATATTTACATTCACGTATATATTCTCAAGTTTTTATGGCACCTGCTTAAGTTTCTCTGTTTAGCTCGTGGTTGACTGGTAGAGAATGCCTAAAGGCATTAAGTCCGCCAATTGTACATCTTAAGTGCAATAAAGATTTTTAAATAAAAAAAAAATAAATAATAAAAGTATAAGATATATATAATATACTAATAAAAGTAAAAGTATAAATAAAGAGTAGATAAATGGAATAGCGTAAAATATACATATGTGTGTAATAAAGTACCGAGTAGAACCATTTTTGAGAAACATTATACATTCCGTATGGATAAAGAAAGTTATTAGAAATAGCTGCTCATCGAGCCCGTACTGTCAACATGAACAGTACCAGTAGCGAAAACTGGCTAATAACGGTATATCGTTATAACATTACATTATTCGGTTACTTGGAAAATTTCTTTTAATGATAAAATATTTGAATAGAATTGTATACGGAAGTAGGTACATAATTTTAAAACAACATTTATAACTAGGGATCCGCTCTGGCTTCGGCTGAGTGGATTTATTAATGTAGCTTTATTCAAAGCTTAGAGAATTATTAAAGACAATTTATTTTATCTTATTACTATTTGTATTTTATTAAACTCTAATTTTTTTATATAAAATTTAGTCTAGTTCACTTCTGGTATTACGTAGTATTAGTATTGGTGAAGTTTAATTACAAATGGTTCCAAATATTAGCTCGAATAAGTAGACAGATAAAAGAAAATTTTAAAAATGGGTACTCATGTCTCAATGACATGTAAATATTTTATAAAATAATATTAACAAACAAAATTAACAATAATTATCAAGGAAACTCAGAGCTCGTCTAGCTCACAAATTATCGAAACCGCACTGAATTAATTTTTTAGTTTATGGCATTTTGTTATCATTGATTTCAATGACAAGTTGAACACACGAAAAACGCATATTGCACCGTATTTTCTTTGTAGTCTTTACCGGCGGTTGTGAGTATAGATAGCGACAGTGAGAGAGACGTGAATAGAGGCAAAGCCATTTTTAATCCCATTCTTTAACCGCACGGATAGTATGTATTATAAACCAGTTATATATATATACAATAGAATAACAAGGGACACATATTAAAATAGATGTTCAAAATATTACTTATAAAGTAAAAACTAGATATAGAAAGTTGGATAAATCTTATTCATGATTATTCTTATAATATAATTCTTGAACTAGGTTCTTAAAATCATTCTTATTACTGTTTTTCTAGAATCTAATGTCATGTGACAAACTTCCACACAATCAATAATGAGCAATATCAAAGACTGAATAAGTAGAAGCTTAGTTTTAAAATGCAAGATGTTTTCTATAACATGACATTACAAACTTCAATTGTCTATTTTTAGATGGACGTGGAAAAAGATCGCCTATCAGATTTAATAGCGTGGCTTGCTATACACATCAAACCAAGATATCATTTTGTTCCGTCATTAGATAAATACTATGAAAGGCAACCATATAGGTAAGTGTTTACTTAAGTAAGGGTGCTTTAAGGTGTTAATATGTACATGCGGCGCGGGCGGCCATCGAGTTACAATACCGCCATACAATGATTTACGCGAATACTACACATGGAATATAACAAATTTTACGGATTTTATCACTTTTAACTTTAACTTTTTTAATTACTGCACTTTACAGCACCCATGGTCACGGCGCGTCAGAGGTGTTTGATGTTCCGATGTCATAGTTAACAAAGGCTACCTTCAACTTTATTAAATTATTTTCTTTGATTCGATTTAAATAATAAAATCCGTGAAACTTGTTTTATACCGCCATACTTTTAAAGTTACATTCGCCGACGATGGCAATGCCAGATTAAAAAAAAATTGCTGAATTTAAGGAAATGAAAAAAGGATTTTGCTTACAAATTGTAAATTGAACAAATTTAGTAGTAACTATTTTATTATGATTGTAATTAATTATTACACTGTCTGTGTTGGATACTGGAAAGACGAAATCAAGTTACTGGAAAAAAGTTGTAATTATTCTCCTAATATCCACAAAGACAATCTTGAATTGGATTTATCATCCAAAAATATCACAATTAAATATTTATGCTGTAAAATACTAAATGCCATTTCACACAGAAATAATAACCCAAATAATATTAATGAAACAAAAAAAACTTAAAGAGATCAGATCTAAAATTTCAGAGAACTATACTTAATCTACTGACTTCAAAAAGGAGCCGGTACTCAATTCGACTGTATGTTTTTTTATGTGTTACCTCATAACTTTTTACTGGTTGAACCGATTTCTATGATTCTTTTTTTATTTGAAAGCTGGTGCTTCACGTGTGGTCCCATACAAATTTGATCAAGGTCTGACCAATAGTTTTTGAATTACTTTAATAATTTATATTGAACAACCAACTTCAATTTAAATTATTAAGGATAACTCAAAAACTACTGGTCAGACCATGATCAAAGGACATTGCTCTGCGCCCATACATTGTTCGCCCTGGAACCAAGAGCATCGGAAAATTATGTGTTTTATTGTCGATCATTAGTAAATTCCTATATGATCTTATTTTTATAGCGGACTAGCAGCATAATAGATATATTTCAAAAATATTATCAGATTTTGAGGTTATAATCGAACCACGAATACTACGGTATTTCATAGCTCCGAGTGATTTTTAACAAAGTGAAAATCACAACAACATAAGTCGTTCTTGAAAGCAATCAGACGTTAAAATAGCCAAGTCATAATTTTCAATATATAGTCCCGAAAGTAACCAAAACACCGGTACAATTACAAAGAGCAAACGACGCCAACCAATGTAATTTTGACAGAGTGAGAGATGACAGTGACAGTACAAAGTAGGCATGATGATTTGAAATCGTTTAATCGATTGTTTATAGTAAAATAATCGATTTTCTATATATGGATTTAGATAATTATATATAAATCTGAAAAATCCTAGTCCGATGTCCTGATATCGACTTGAACACTCCATCGATTAAATGAATCGATCCAAAACCTCTCGAATACATGGGACGTATAACATAACAGTACTACACAACTCTACCTACTCCTTCTGGGAAATACAAGCGTGATGTTATGTTTATTAATTTAATGATGTTTCTATACAATTACTTGTATTTACGGTAAATTATCGTCAGTAATGTTCTGTGTCTATATTAGGCATGTTTGAAAATGTCGCGATTGATCGAAAATAGATCTGTTAATGCTTGATTTAATCGAGAATCGATTCTAGTATGTTCGGTTTGAATCGATTTGGAGATCGTATTTTTTTTTCTTGCGAGACTGACAAGTGACAAGTGACCATTTAGTGACATAAAAAAATAGGAACGCCAAATAAAATGCGATTTATGGATATATCCTAAGATTTATTATAGCCATACGTTACAAACATTACATACATCATCTTTTGTTATACGATAATATTACCAAGTATGACAATATCCTACTTTACTTATAATAACACGCACGTTTCTACTTCTTCCATACTTGTAACAATAGGGTTCGAATCCGCCATTCGACTACTGTCGTGATCCACTTCTAATACAAGCATTTTAAGCTTACCAGAAGTGGTTAAAGAGAATATTAGTAATGTTTAATGACATTACTATTATTTTTTTAAAAAAAAATTATTAATAATAACATCTGTAAACACATTTATAATAAATGCAGTAACGATCAGTGTTTTTTTTTTATATTAAGTGTCGTAAACTCGTAAGTTATCGTTTAGTAAGACGTAAAATACTCTCCTTTTTAAGCGAACATTTACAAATATTTTTCTTCAGCATTATTCTAACTACCTATTCAAAATCGAGTATGATCTCATTCATTAGGTATAGTAGGTTTTTTAAATTATACTTTCAGGGAATAATATAAAAAATATAAAGAAATGGTAATTTAATATTTTTAGTGTAGTTTATTTTTACAATTTTATTCGAAATAAATTCAATATGTAATTCAGATTAAAAAATATGCAACTAAAAATTCAAAAATCGATTACAATCAATTGGCATCCCGAATCATCTTTTGACACCACATGATGTTTGGCGAAGATGGCGGCGATTAATGTTATTAGTCGAGTAGAATACTTTTTAATGTTAATTTTTGCATGCAGCTAGTCCGTGTTATAAAAATATTTACAACTAATATAATAAAATAGACAATTAATTATCGTGTATGTTCGATGTTTTTATTACACAGGGCGATTTTGGACATTGTCCTTTATATGGGACTACACAAGAAGCACCAGCTTTCAAATAAATAATATAAATTAAAAATGTTGTACAACCGACTTCAATATAAATTATTAAGTATAACTCAAAAACTATTGGTCAGACCTTGATCAAATTTATATGGGACCACATGTGAAGCATCAGTTTTCAAATAAAAAAAAAAATCATCCAAATCGGTTCACCCAGTAAAAAGCTGTGAGGTAACAAACATTAAAAAAAACATACAGTCGAATTGAATACCTCCTCCTTTTTAAAGTCGGTAGAAAAGAAGATAAGCAATATTGTTGTCATTACAACTAAACCAGGATATGATTCTAAATATACTTTGAGTTCTCGTCTTTTTACTGGTAACAAGGTATTTTGATTCTTAATCGAGGGTAGATATAGGTGTCTTCCATTTTCCATTGGATGGACTTTTGTCATCTTTAATTATATAAAAAGATTAGATGTAATAAATATTAAAAGGTATCTCCGAAATTAGCCAGAAGATAATCTGAAATTAATTGTACTTCTTTATTTAAGATCATCTGCTATGTTATATTTTTTCAATACTGTTTATTAATGTTTATAACATCTTTAATATGTATATTATCATCTTAATATATGATATCATGTCATGAGCACAAATATAACTATGATGTTTTCAATGATATTTTCTCTCATTGCCTAAAGTCGTCGATTTTCCTATAAAATATTTAATGTCAAAGGCAAACATTATCACATATCGACATGTCTATGGCAAACTTGCGAATCTGTCATTTTCGCTTAATCATTGGTAATCTGTGGCTTAATACTGTTTATTGGCCTAATCTGCCCCCAATGTAATAGAAACAACTGTGACTTTTTTTTATAGGATCGGGTGACAAAAGATCACACAGTCCACCTGATGGTAAGTGGTTATTGTGACCCATAGACATCTACATCTATCCTCAATAAAGACTCAAGATGCAGATGCGTTGTCACCTGTGAGGACTAAGATGAAATGCCTGTTTGCCAGTAAAAAGGGTCTCCGGTTCTCTACACTCACCATACGAAACACAGCAGCGTTAAGCTGCTATTTTACGCTGGTTTTCTGTGAGAGCGTGGTCCTTCCCCGTTCGAGCCGACCCATTCGTGCTACAACCATAATATAGCTGCAGCATGGCTCTACCACGTAGAAAAACTTAGACTTGCGCATTTACAAAATTTTTCATAAAATATATCATAACATATTATAGATACAGATTTGAAACTTTTCCACAGTGTGTATTATTACATTGAAGTCGAATTAGGCCAATAAACAGTATTAAGCTACAATGACAGATTCGCAAGTGTGCCATAGACACGACGATATTATACTGGTAATGCAATTGCCAATGCTCTGTATAAATTTGGAAATAATATAAAATTTACCTTTTTTTAGAATAGAGGGGACAAAAGTCCACCTGGTGGTAAGTGGTTGCTGTGGCCCATAGACATCTACATTTATTTTCGATTAAGAATCAAAATGCAGATGCGTTGTCACCCCTGAGGACTAAGATGGAATGCCTCATTTCCAGTAAAAAGGATCTCTGGTTCTCTACACTCACCATACAAAACACAGCAACATTAAGATCTTATTTTATGCTGGTATTCTCTGAGAGCATGATTCTTGCCGGTCGAGCCGATCCATTGTGCTCCAACCATAATATAGTTGCAGCGTGGTTAAAAAAATTGTATATCCGATAATTAGACTGTTATTCTTAAAACATCGTCAACAATAATTCGCGTGATTTTTTTTGGACAGAAATCAAAGCATACATCAAGATTATCGTGAATGTGTAACCAGATTTATAGCCTTGGCTCCAGTTGGGAACAAAGTTAAGGAGAAATGGATATATGCGTGTTCACTGCAGCCTATAAGTAAAATGCGTATGACAGATCTGCTGCAAGCAACCACTGATGAAACACAATGCCCTTACGATCCTGAACTAATGAAACAACATCAGCCTGGTAAAGTTGTTAAGGTAAATTTTGTCTCAAAGTAATTAGTACATAAACCGTGTTGCACTAATGCCTCGTTGCATGCTTAGTAATCGGATCTTTGACTTATGTGACTTTACAAAATGCAAAATGCAAAGTATTTTGAGTGAGTAAGAGAAAGAGGTAGAGAGTCAGAGTCATATTCCCCATACTGATGTAAATGAGGAAAATCAGTTTAAGGAATTTCACTTTTGCAGGCCAGAGTACACACCTTTAGGAATGCTTGTAGACAATTTAGACCTGGCGTGTCTTTTTAAAGCGTGTGTTTTGTAAAGGAAATTGATTTGTCTATTTATATTTCATATTTACATGCAACATACACACTCAGATATCGTATTCCGCTTAATTCGCGAGTGGCCGCACGAATTCTTAAATTTGTTACATGCATATATGATGTTTAGTAATATTATAAACAAATCAGAGTCAACAACTATAAGCACAAGCAGTCCAGTGTAATAGACTCCTACTGTTGTACTTTTGCCAGTGTCAAGTGTTTAACAAATTATCCTTTATGATAATTTGTTTAAAAAAACTTCTTCACAATATGTTGATGCGTCACATTGTGAAATTTTTGAGAAATTTTGACGGCAGCTTGAGACAGCAGATAGTCGATGACGATAGTATCTCAAGGTGCCTAAGTACACACATTATCTTAAGGTTCACCAGCGTATCACTTGTTTCATTGTTTCCTCTAATATTTCATATGCGCAGACATTTAATACACAAAATTGCACCACTTTTACGTATTAAAATCTACTTCAAACCATTATTTTAGCAATAATACAAGAGCAGTAATCTATCACCAATCAAGTTCCCGCCAAAACCAAATTCTTATCTACGAAGACGAGACGATAATCAATTCGATTGTATGTTTTTTTTAATGTGTGTTACCTCACAACTTTTTACTGAGTGAACCGATTTCGATGATTCTTTTTTATATGAAAGCTGATACTTCTCGTGTGGTCCCATATGAATGTGATCAAGGTCAGATCAATAGTATTTGAGTTATTCTTAATAACTTATATTGAAGTGGGCTGTACAAAATTTTGAATTTTTTTTTTAAATTCGCTGTCTGTAGATGATAGGTTCTTTTCTGCATTTAATACTGGCTTAAAAATTAAAGAGTAAGTGAGTGAGTTTAATTACAGGCTATATGGTATGTCAACAGTCTTTAGGGCATGCTTATTTAAATAATATTTTTTTTAATGTTAATCACTATTTTCTTATTTTAAACTTAATATTGAATATTATTTTCTACTTTCTAGTTCGGTTATCTACAAAAGCGTGTTTTTTTTTATTTTTTAAACTTATATTTATATATATATATCGGTACTTGCCTAATTTACAGTTCTCTGGCAATGGTCAATACTTTTTCAATATGGATGCTGCGGATGATGATCAAGGGAAAAGAAAAAGAAAAACTTTCGACAATCCGGAAAGAAAACGAAAAGAATTTGATCCAGGTTTCTTTTATTTTAATTGAAAAAAAAAATATAGATATATTCATATATAATCCTTTCATGCTTATTTCATTTAGGCTTTTATCTTGTCTTTAATGATGCAGTTGTAGGTAGACATTGCTACGAATAAGTTTCAATATTTAACACATTAAATGACACTTGTTCCTCTTATGTATAAGAAAGGTATGTTTAATGTTAAATAATATTTTTAGATACATGTTGGTTCTGCTTATCGTCGCCAAATGTTGAAAAGCATTTAGTTATATGTGTTGGAAGCCATTGCTACCTTGCGTTACCAAAAGGCCCACTTACACCATACCATGTTCTCATATTACCTATAGCTCATCATCAGTCAGTCAGTAAGGTAATGTTTTTGGACATATTTTTTTTAATTATCTCGTTATGAATTAACCGTATAATTACTTACTGTTCTACTTATCTACTTACTGTTGGAATAAGTCCTGTCTTATCCTGGAAAGTTTTACTGTAATTTCCAATCTTAACAGGAAGTTTAGTCAATGTATTATACTCCTCTCAACTATGTGAATACCTGTTACACCTGAGCCGTGGTAGCTGAAAGGCTCGCTCACTGTAGCAGTATGCGAGCAACCAGGCCTCGATCCCCGCCGGCACGAATGAAATTGATTGCAATTTCAAGTGCTGATTTACCACGTGCTCGTAGGTGAAGGAAAACATCGTGAGGAAACTTGCATGTCTGAGGAATAAGAAAAAAATATTTCTCTGACTTTCCTTGTCCTAAAACCCCCTCAAAAATGAGATGCCTGTGCCCAGCTGTGGGACGTATATAGGCTGTAACTTAACTTTTGACAGTGTAAATGGACTATGGTCATCAGTGGGCTCTTTGTGGCCTCATGAATATGAAAAAGCATTAAGCATCTATGAAACTTTTTTTTATAGAATATGGGTGACAAACGAGCACACAGTCCACCTGATGGTAAGTGGTTGCTGTGGCCCGTAGACATCTCCATCTAACCTTGTCAGCCGTGAGGACTAAGATGGAATGCCTCTTTTCCAGTAAAAAGGGTCTCCGGTTCTCTACACTCACCATACGAAACACGACTACAAAAAGAATGAGGTACTCAATTCGACAGTGTTTTTTTATGTGTTTTACCTCATATCTTTGTTCTTCGTGAACCGATTTCGATGATTCTGTTTTTATTTGAAAGCTGGTGCTTCTCATGTGGTCCCATATAAATTTGATCAAGGTCTGACCAATAGTTTTTAGTTATCCTTAATAATATATATTGAAGTCGGTTGTACAAAATTTTTAATTTTAAATTGTTATTTCTTAAGTACTTTTTTAATGAGAGAAAATATCATTGATAGTTATATTTGTGCTCATGACATGATATCATATATTAAGATAATGATATACATATTAAGGATGTTATAAACATTAATAAACAGCATTGAAAAAATGTAACATAGCAGATGATCTTAAATAAAGAAGTACAATTAATTTCAAATTATCTTCTGGCTAGTTTGGGAGATACCTTTTAATATTTATTACATCTAATATTTTTATATAATTAAGGATGACAAAAGTCCACCCAATGGAAAATGGAAGACACCTATATGTATCTACCCTCGATTAAGAATCAAAATACCTTGTTACCAGTAAGAAGACGAGAACTCAAAGTAAATTTAGAATCATATCCTGGTTTAGTTGTAATGACAACAATATTGCTTATCTTCTTTTCTACCGACTTTAAGAAGGAGGAGGTATTCAATTCGACTGTATGTTTTTTTATGTGTGTTACCTCATAACTTTTTACTGGGTGAACCGATTTGGATGATTCTTTTTTTATTTGAAAGCTGGTGCTTCACATGTGGTCCCATATAAATTTGATCAAGGTCTGACCAATAGTTTTTCAGTTATTCTTAATAATTTATATTGAAGTCGGTTGTACAAAATTTTTAATTTTAAATTGTTATTTCTTAAGTACTTTTTGATATAAGTTTAATTTTATCTATAATGGTTTGTTATTATTACGATTACATACATTCCCTATTTTCAGGCCCCAGATGAAGTTGTAAACGAAATAAAAAAGTTTAAAGAAGCTTTGAAAGAATTTTACGCATCAATGGATAAGCTTGTAGTTTTCTTTGAAAGGAACTTTCGGACGACGCATATGCAGATACAGTGCGTGCCTGTGCCTCGAGTATGCGAATCACAGATTTTAGAAGTTTTTCAGGTAAGTGATGATATGAAGTGTACATTTATTCCATGTACATTAAGGCCCGTATTAATAAACGTTCCTCAATGACGAACTCAATTGCGTAATCTTTTGATACGCCCTCATTACGATATCATCATCTTAAGGTTATTGCTAATTAACCCTTTCCCTGTCCCATGAATCATATATGAGCATTTAAATTGTTTTACTATTGTGTCTATATCGCGGAAAGGGAACCTGTTAATAAACATCTTTCGGGTTGATGGTACAAATGGGCGTGCCTCAAGGCTCAATTCTCGGCTCCTTTCTGTTTCTTGTTTATATTAATGACTTACCTTAAATAGTAGGGGATAACTATGATATAGTATTATTTGCTGATGACACTTCTCTAATTTTCAAATTAACACGACAATTACTAAAATATGACCAAAGTAAATAATGCTATATCTAAATTAGTACATTGGTTCAATGTTAATAATTTGCATTTAAATGGCACTATTAGGGACTGTAGTGGACTGTATGAATTTAATGTATAAAACTGGTTGACTGACTAATTACTACGCTAGGGACTGCTTAAAGGAAAGATGTTACTGTAGACTATACTGTATTCAAATATTTACAAATGCGGCACTAATAAACTATATACAGAGAGGGGAGTCTTCACTCTTCAATCTTCAATGGAGTATCTCTTGATTTCTCTTGATGATTTTTCTCTTGCTGTTGTCTTCGAGTGCCGCTTCCGAAATGAACAGCTCACAGACCAAAACGCCCTTCTTATATCTCGCAAGAGAGCGTCTCAGTATGTGAGTAACGTCGTGAGGCGATGCCGCGCGCTGATTGGTCGGCGACATCGCGTGATCTGCTGCCGGTGTGCGGGGTGCAACGGGGTATGAAGGGGCGACCGGGCGGCGGCTCCCTTCGCCGTCCGTAACAGACACTAAAACGAAATGTATGAAATTCATGACTCCAAATGTCAAACAATCAAATACAACATAATATACAATATTTTATTATATACAATATTAAAAACTGTAACAATAATTAAAAAAAAACTAAAACTATAAACTTAATTATCATATAGTCCTACTCCCCGCGGTATCGTGCCAAGAACGCTGGCTGCGTTTCCCCGCTGAATGGCTATACTTAGCCTTTGAGCGAGAAAAGAACCAGCCCATTAAATACTAATGTAATTTTAAATGGGGAGGAGCTGAGTCTTGTCGATACCACCATTTTTATTGGAATCACACTAGACGCGAAGCTTCAATGGAGCCCCCATATAGCGAAACTAGCAAGGAGAATTAGTTCTGCAGCATATAAAAATATTAGAAATCTTACCTGTGTTGAAACTGCTAGACTAGTTTACTTTAGCTATTTCTATAGCATAATGTCGTATGGTAATTTGCTATGGAGACACGCAGCTGACACTGAAATTATGTTTGTTTTACAGAAGAGGGTCATAAGAGAAATTATTATTTAAAAATTTAAGGAAATTAATATATTAACTTTGGCCTCTGAATACATTTATGAAAATGTAATGTACGTACACAAAAATAAAAGTAGTCTTACAAAAATAAGTGATATTCATTCTGTAACTCCACCGAGTCAGTAATTCATTCTTGGGGCGATGCAAAATTCCAGAAAATATACAAAATTAGACCTGCTCAAAGTTCAAAAACTTTATTATACTAAGTTTGTATAAAAAGGGTTATTACAATATTAAGGAATTTATGGATGATAATAACCCCTGGGAATGAGGTGATCGTTTCCAAGCTATTTCTAATTTGTTTTGTTGTTAATTGTGCAACTTACATGTTTGTAAGCTGTTATTTAAAAAAAAGTCCTGCTGAGTTTCTTGTTGTTAGTTCTTCCCAGAACAGAGGTTTTTTTGAACAAGTGGTAATTAAAGAAAAGAGTGACTTTCAATAAGTATTATTTATAATCTATATTGAATAAAAAGTTTCTGTGTCTGTTTCTGTTTCAAAAAAAAAAAACACAAAAACAGTATCTCAGTTACTGAGATGAGTTCCTCAAGACACTGTACTTGGGATCTTGTAAGCCGCAACTTGAGGTATGGTTATTATTAAGATCATAACCTCAAGATTATTCTTAAGTGCCTGCACTTGAGCTGAGGAACGTTTATTAATACTAATAGTAGTTTTAGTTAATAGTATTCTTTCATTTTGTGCATTGATGATAAAAATTGGGTAGTAGCTTTAAAACTATGACGCCTTTTCTGCCTAGAAGCCCGTTTGGGAGGTATCACATTTTTACATATTTCTATAGCAAATAGCAGTGTTTGCACTGCTGTGGTCCGGTCTGAACTATACAGAGAACCAGTACAATTCCAAGGTGTAAGGTATTATATATTAGCCCTCATATGTCACAAGACGCACCTGTAGCCTTCCGTGTTTGAGTTTGGCTGCAGATGATAATAGACTGTAGTAGCCACTTACTATCAAGTGGATTGTAAGTTCTTTTGCCACTTCAGTTTTATAATATATATATATATATATATATATATATATTTTAAATTTACCACTTTCAGTAGGGTCTTAAAACTTGGTTGTTCTGTTCTAATTACATCCACGCGTTTTTTTTTTAAATATGGGTGTCAAGCGTGCCGCAGTCCACCTGATTGTAAGTGAAGTCTGTGATCCATATACACCTACATCTATCTTTAATTAAAAATGTAAATGAAAATGTGTTGAGGACCAATATAGAATCGCTACCAGTAAGAAAGGTCTCTGGTTTTCTACATTAAGCTGATATTCTGAGAGTGTGCCTCTACCACCTTAAAGATTTCTGTTAAAATAATGTATTAATGGTTATTTAATAAAGCGTCAGTAACTTTATGGTAGAATGCGGACCACAAACTCTAAAGGTTGTGAGTTTGAATCCGCCATTCGACTACTGTCGTGAACCGCTTCTAACACAAGCATTTTCAGCTTACCCGTAGTGGTTAAATAGTAGTAATATTAGTAGTATTGCTAGTATATTTTGATTAAAAAAAACATGCGTGAGTGTCGTGGAACACTCGGTTGGAATGAAGTTCGTTTTGTAGTACATTATTATTGATAAACATATTATATTATTGATTAAGAAATACAAATAAATGAATTATTAGCGTCTATTGAAATGAAGCGTCATTTAAAATAAAATAATATTTCTTTCATGGCACGATAACAAAAAGTGCGAAGGAGATGGATATTATTCCATCTCGCTTCCTTATAGCCGCCAAGGCCGTCTACACTACGTCAGAATGGGTCGTGACGGTAAAATCTTGCACTTTTTCTCACCTAGTTCGCCTCGCCTACTAATCCGCCAAATTAGTGTTAGTGCCGTCCGATAAGGAACTTTGTTCCAAAAACATGCCCATTGTATTTAAAACAAAATATGTTGCAGGATGAGGCTGGCATAAACAGCATACAAATGGAAGTATTACCGCCATTTGCGGATATCGCACAAGTGGTGTTGCCAGGTGCTCCTTACTTCCATGCGGAGTTACCCACAGGCGATCAGATTTTCGCGAAAACCAAACAACATTTTCCTCTGCAATTTGGCAGGTAATCAATATATTTATAGTTTTTCTTGATGTTCGATTGGAGAATACACCATCTCCTATTGATGTTATTAAGTATATCACTGCATTTGTATTTCTATATGTAATTTTTGTGAAATATACCCTTGAGCCGCGTTAACACGATCAAAGTCTGCTTTGACAAAGTGGTTTTGATGACTTCTTTGACGCTACTTTGATCGTGTAAACGAACAATCAAAGCGCACTTTGATGTGGGCGTTAATCATAGTAGACTTGGACTGTGTTCTACTTTTTAAGTCAATTGATGTAAAAAAAAACTCAAGAAAAATTTAAAAAAAATATTTTGGGTTTTGCGGGTTTTTCTTCTTTACGCGTTCTTCTTTACTCATTTAGCTCTTGTATTAACAAGTCTGCGATAATTTCTACACTGCCTAGTAACAAATCTATGTCGTCAGACATATTTTTATAGGTGTTGTTGTTACTTTCGAAGGACGGTAAAAATTAACAAACTGATCCAAGTCTAACTATGTCTAAACTATGTGTCATATGTGTCAACTGGTATCAAAGTGAACCTTGATCAAAGCTTTGTTGTTACTTTGTCAAAGCAGACTTTGATCGTGTCAACGCGGCTTTCAAGGCTGATATTATTTGATATTTGTTCGATTTATAAATAAAATTTTGGCATGTCACTTTATAGTCTGCTATTAAAATTTCCTTTTCACTAGATAACAAAGCATTATGTTATGAAAATAGTAAATGTAACATAAAATTTTATATGTACTTGCCACATTGCAATATATATATTATTTGGCGAAATATTATCTAATTTTTTATATGGGTCACAGGTCGTTATTTTTCCTGGTTTTTCCCATATTTGCCTCTTGCAATAACCATGAGATGATATAATGGTGCACTATAGACATTAAGACCACAACATTGGTATGTCTTAATTTCTACCATATGGCACCACATAGAATATAACAGATGTAAAATATACAGACAGGGATGGGAAGCAGCATCAAAGGTATGAAATGTCGAAACCAAGCTTGGCGATTATGACGAACTCCTCTTCTATGGGATAGGCTTGTGTCCAGTACTTGACGGTTAACCAGTAAATTAGAATATTTGAAATATTGCTTTTTTTTTATTACAGAGACGTTCTGTCCAGTCCGCCCATATTGAATTGCGAAGATAAGGCAGATTGGAGACAGTGCCTTATAAGTCGCGAAGAGGAAGACGCCCATGTGGCAGCGTTCAGAAAAAAGTTTCGGCCTTATGATTTTACTGTTGGTGAAGATAGTGATAGTGATTAAGGTACATATTAAAATAACAGCATTGTATAAAGTTTTAATGTTTTACATAAATATTGTGAAATTAAATGTCTTTTTTTATTCACTTTACCGCAAAATGGTAGCAACAAACGAAGTTATATCCTAAAACAATGCTTGTTTTAGGATTCCGCACACGTTTAAGAAATCTCACACAAACATTCCCTTATTTTTTCATGTTTGAGTCAGTTCCCGGTTTTGACAAGGGACTCTTCAAATTCCATAATTGAATGTAGTTAGTCAGACCAATGGTCAGGCCAAAGTCAATAATATACCATGCTAAACGTAGGGCGACTCACATGGCTGGCCCGAAGTGAATGGTTGGCCCAAGGTGGCCACTCTGAGCGGGCTTGTCGAGCCCTTGGATGTGTGTTAGTGGACTGTGGCGAGAGATACCTCTCTCTTTATTGCTGCAGGCGAGGTGGAGTCGCAGGGGAAGAGGATTGTTGGTATGGCGATGTGCCACTCGACTCGCCTTTGGCGGGTCTATACCACTTGGTCCTTCCGAGTGCTTGCTTTTTCCTGGCTCCTTGGCCTTCACATATCGGGTTAGAGGAGTCCGTTGTGCAGGTGGAGTAAGAGGTCGCGAAGGGGAGTACGCCTTGTGTTCCTGGTGCACCTTATCTGAGAAGGAAAAGGGGGACGAGAAGTTATCAACTAAGGAGGGGTCCGCGCTGGTGGGCCCGCGGATGTGTTTGAAATCGTTTCCGTGGCCCTGCCAATGTGTGGCCTAGGTAGAACATCGTGGGGTTTTAGTAGGTGCGAGTCTGATATAATTCGTTCTTGCCTCCGTGAAGCAGGTATGCGTAGGCATTTCCTCATTTGAAACCCGGAACAAAATAGATAGACCAACGCAGCGTCGATCTTGTTTTTATATGAGGTAAAAAGCTTGCGTCTAAGGCCTAGGTATTATTTGTACATTTATTTATTGTATGATATTATATTAATATGATCCATAAATAGAATGGACGTTACGGGTAGACCTGGGTATAGAAATTTTATCGATATATTTTGTCAACACTGTCTTATCTCTATTATTAGTTTCGTGGACGTTCACTTGTGCTGTCAGCGCCAAAATGGCGAAAATCAAATCGCCTCATTATGTCACGGTGTAAAGTCAGTCCATATATAGAGGTTAGTGGTAAAGTAGCATAAAGGCGAAAAGTAGTCATTTGAAGTAAATTATCTTATTTCTCGTATAAACTAATCTTAATTCTCGTAATTTAGTAACGAGACTAATCATAATATTTTTTTTTAGATTTTACTTTATTTCTTATAAATAAACTTAAAAAATAATTGTTCTGTGAACCAAAAAAAAAAGTGACATCTGTCAATCGGATGCGATCCGATTTTTGTAAAATTTCGTCGATTCAAACTCGTTATGTAGCAAGCTAATAAAAAGACACAGACTAATATGCGTACCTGCGTTTTTTAAATTAAGATTTTTTGGCTTGGATGCTTGTCCTTTAAGCCACGTCTTCATTTCATTCGGGATCGTTGTTTTTATAGATTTTCAGTATTAAGTGATAATAATTTTTCACTGCTTTACAATATGTTGATGCGTCAAATTGCGTTGTTTTTAGAAATTTTGACGGCAACTTGAGTCAGCAGACAGTTGGCGATAGTATCTCTTTTTAGTATTAAGTGATAATAATCCTTTATAGTACACTGCTTTACAATATGTTGATGCGTCAAATTGCGTTGTATTTGGAAGTTTTGACGGCAACTGGAGTCAGCAGACAGTTGGCGATAGTATCTCTTTTTAGTATTAAGTGATAATAATCCTTTATAGTACACTGCTTTACAATATGTTATGCGTCAAATTGCGTTGTTTTTAGAAGTTTTGACGGCAACTTGAGTCAGCAGACAGTTGGCGATAGTATCTCAAGGCGCCTAAGCAGACAGACGCCTTATCTTGAGATTCATATCACCATCGGAGCATTTGTTTCACCGTTTCCACTAATAGTATATTGAATGCCTTCGGCATTAAGTCCGCCTATATACCACATGTGTATATGAAGTTTTAAATAAATAAAATAAATAAATAATACACAAAATTGCACCACTTTTACATATCAAAATCCTCTTTAATTAGTGAGCTTAGCTTAGCTTAGCACTTTAAAGAGTGATTTAAAGAGCAGCCGCCGCCGCGTCGGTTAAGTTTTCGCCAAACTCCAAATTCCGATGTATTGGACTGAGACTCCACACAGATTAAAAAAAAAATTTTTACGTGGTGACGCCACGCAGCATCTTTTGCTGTAGCACGGATGGGAACCGGGACTCGAAACTCGAACTTGATTCGGGGAAGAACGCTAACCGTGAATTTGTGCAACATCAAGGAACTTTATTCACATCTTAAGACCGTCTTCCACTATCTGGAAGAGCGAAGCCGGCCTTGCTTTTTCTCACCGAGACACAGGTGTTCTCTCGGGCCGATACTCCGTATTCCCAACCGGGGTACAAACCCCGTTTCGTGGCGGGTTCGAATACCTACTACCCCATATCTTTCCGTGGGTGTCGTAAGACGCGACAGAGGGAAACTGAGGTAGAAGATGGGCAGCAGCATCTTTCTGGTAACAGCAAAATAACAATAAAAAAACCGCGATTGCCAACCCGCTCACCAAGCGTGGTAACTATAGCAATATACCCCACATGATTAAAGTACATAGAGACGGCCCCCAGTACATGGCGACCACGCTATTTCTTTCTACGGTGGCGACCATGACAACGGCGTGGCAGGGGGTGCTAAGAATCTCCGGTTCTTAGCACCCCCACCGCGCCATAAGTTCGGTTGCCAACTAAGACGACTCAGCCTGGCAACATTAACGCACTGACGAGAAGATCCTGGAGCTGGAAGAAGAGACACGTTACGCTGGAATGTTATAGGATTATCTAAGGTCCGAAGAGAGGGTGAGGACATGGTAATCCTCGAATCCAGCAACTTGTTCCATTACCAGGAGGGCATCTGTTCCAAGAAGGTGTCGGATTTATCGTCCACAAGTCTCCCGTCAACAAAATTGTAAAGATTGAGAATGTGTCGACAAGGGTTGCGTACCTTATACTCAGAACCACCAAACGGTATTCGCTGAAGGTCATACAGGTTTACGCACCAACCTCGGCACATCTCGATGAGGAGGTGGAGGAAATGTATGAGGATATCTCTAGAGCCATGCATTCCTCCAATTATTGTCGTGCAAAATTGCTTGCAATTGTTTAACCAGATTTGGTTTTACATCAGGAAAATTGTTGCATCTTAAACTTGCCTCTCTTCCGTCCTCACCAATGAAAAAAAATGTGCAGAAATTTAGGCTCTTGTTGAGTTAAAGGTAATAGGCTACCAACCAAATGATAAACTTGTCCTAGCACTTTAAAAGTGGGCAAATAACCATCTTCTATTATTATTTTTGCCCTAAAGGAGGTTATTTGAAAGCAGCCATTCTACTTCCTAATACGATCCTTGAAATGTGCATGCTCTGGATGAAGATCCATAATCAAGCTATAAAGAGGTTCTGGCAAGGGCTCAAAAGCAGAAAGCTTCACTTTACCACCGGCGCACCTCATGCCAGAGGCTTCTTCTTTCCACTTGAAAGAACAGTGTATACATTTTTGATTCATAGCACCAAGAATAACCGTTTTATCAGTTTCATAAGATAATTCAGGATCATACATCAGCCCAGATAAAGCTTTTACTTTCCATGGAAGTAATTGTCTTTCTGATCGTTTTCTTGGATTATTCCTTTCATGCCTAGAAACAGCTGCTCAGTTCTGGATTACTGTGTTGATAATTTGCGCCGCAGAACGGTGAGGGTCAGGGTTATTTTGCTGGTAAGTTATGACTGTAGCACGGTGAGACTAAGGGTTATTTTGCTGGTAAGTCATAACAGCAGTACGGTGAGACTCTGGATTTATTTGCTGATAAGTCATTACTGCAGTACGGTGAGACTCTGAATTGTTTTGCTGCTAAGTCATGACTATAACACGATGTATTTCTGGATTTTTGTGTTTTATTGATTAAATTTCTAATACTGGCATTCTTGAGTTGTTTTTTTTTATAGTTTTATTAGTATATCTAGCCTGGCGACGCTTCTTTTTCTCAGAAGTAGATAAACTTTCAATTTGAGAAGTAGAAGAACTTTCAATTTGAGAAGTAGAAGAACTTTCAATCTGAGAAGTAGAAGAACTTTCAATCTGAGAAGTAGAAACTGAATCCGACATATTATCTACAGGAAGCTAAACGTCGAAATGTTCATTAGAGAGATCATGCGAAGTACTAAAGCATAATCTATGTACGGGGTTTTCTTCTCCACCAAATTACTCGTATAAAATACCATTATGATAAACCTCAAAGACACAAGGGAAAATCTGCCCTGCAGCTACTAATTCGCACAAACCACCATATGTTAAGGTTGAGACATTTCGGCATAGTAGTCAGCAGAGGTGTTAAAATTATTCCTATCTCTGTCGTGGAACATGATGGAAAACTCGTCCCAATGCTCCATCACGTGGTTTAATATTTCTTCACGTACCTCCTGAGCCATAACTTGAGTATCATATAATATGTATGCTGTGGCTCGGAATGAGCAAGCTTCGTCACCAATAATTGGTACGATAGTATGAGGCACCATTGCGCCGTTTACGCATAAAATTTCTACAGCCACATTAGTAAAGAGAATCTACCACACAATAATAACATATTAATTATATTATAAGAATAACTCCTAATCCTAATAAAATAATATACCCTAATACCACAGTATAATAAACATACAGTAGGACGACGCCTTTGATCGTGTGGTAAATGCCGACAACGTCTAGATAGCGTATGAAGGTTAGGGTTGTCACAAATTAACAACTTTTACTAATTTAATTATTTATTTTAGATCTACAACATCATCAACAGTATGATTACTAATATAAAAAATAAGTAACAATTTGTTCTTAGATTTTTACTGAAAGTACTCAAAAGTGAGGGAGTGCTCTGCTCT